CTCAAGTTTCCCAATTGTCAGAACTTTCCCAGTTTTCTCAAGTTTCCTAATTTTCAGAATTTTCTTAATTTTCTCAAGTTTCCCAAGTTTCAGAATTTTCTCAAGTTTCCCAATTGTCAGAATTTTCCCAGTTTTCTTAAGTTTCCTAATTTTTAGAATTTTCTTAATTTTTTCAAGTTTCCCAATTTTCTCAATTTTTTCAAGTTTCCCAATTTTCAGAATTTTTACAATTTTCTCAAGTTTCCCAAGTTTCAGAATTTTCTCAATTTTCTCAAGTTTCTCAATTGTCAGAATTTTTACAATTTTCTCAAGTTTCCCAAGTTTCAGAATTTTCTCAATTTTCTCAAGTTTCTCAGTTGTCAGAATTTTCTCAAGTTTTTCAATTTTCAGAATTTTCTCAAGTTTCCCAATTTTCCGATTTTTCTCCAATCCCAGATTCCCATATCGAAATCCTCGTCGATTTTCATCGAAATAAAGAATTAATCTGTCTGTAAATTAATGTTCCATTCTTACTCTTCAATTTCCTAAGTAATTTCAAATAAAGCTCAAATTGCAACTTAATATTAACAGGTTAAAATGGACTCTTCCATATAAATCGCAGTAAACACTGAAGTTTAATTAAACGAATCGAAAATTTCATCGAAACAAATTCTGTCGTAATTCCGCCAAGATGCCGCATCTGTACATTTCGAGCAAATAGTAATCACCAGGAATCGTGGAACAACAAGGTATTAGCAAATATTGAAATTGGTATGCCACAAGACGGCGTTTGACTTCTGTTTCTGTTTGTATTGCCAAACCGTTTCGAGGTAGGTATATATTGCCAAATCCCTTGAAATCGTGTGTTACACACTCGCAGAACAGAGTGCGGCTATTTTTATGTGGAACCTGGTTCAAGTAATTTACCATCGTAAGTCACTTTGCAACTTTTCAATCGTTACGCAAAACCATTACGACTATTCTCGTAATTCAGAACTTAATTAATCAGTGTTAGGATCCAGTGTATTAAAGGTTCCAGCTCTTAAAGTTCAATTCGCGTGTTCGGAATTATTCTTCGACTGAATAATTTTATAGTTTTACGGTTCGACGTGATCGTCAATTAACCAACGGTTCAGGAAAGAATATTTTAATAAGAGAAAGTCGCGACATATGGATACGGTTCACTGTAACGTGCATCTATTATAAATGACGTCAAAACTTGTGAAAAAATTTTCACATTGATGTGCATTTTCTTTAGTTTCTTCAAATTGAATATGAATAAAAAATATACTAAATTCACTGTTGTCAAAGTTTACAAAAATAATTATTTTGGTCAACAAACAAATAAATGTAATAAAATTAATTATGTTACCGAAATGTAATAAAATTGTTCAACTTAACATCTGAATGTTTTAGTTAAATTTCATTGTGCTACTTAAAAGTGTTCAACTTAACATTTGAATGTTTTACTTAAATTTCATTATGCTACTTAAAATTGTTCAACTTAACATTTGAATGTTTTAGTTAAATTTCATTGTTCGACTTAAAATTGTTCAACTTAACATCTGAATGTTTTATTTAAATTTCATTGTTCGACTTAAAATTGTTCAACTTAACATTTGAATGTTTTACTTGAATTTCATTGTGCGCCTTAAAATTGTTCAACTTAAAATGGCCGCACGAAATCTTCCTCAAAGTTGGCACTTTTCTTACGACCTTGGTTGTCGAATTCCTTTAAAACAAAGTTCGCTAAGATGTTTTTCAAATTTTCATTTTTATCATCATCGCGTATTGATTTTGTCTATCTGCTTGCATACGCAAATGCACCTGAAAAAACAAGGAATTTCGAAACGAGAAGAAAAGAAGATCGAGCTATCTAATCGTCGGAATGTTGCAAGTCGTTTGCACAATCTGTCTGCATCTTTTGACGGAAGCTCGCCAAAATTTATTAACTGTGTCCTTATAAATAAAAAAAATGATAAACGTAACTTTTCCTCAACTTCGCAATCACCGATTAAAAAGTTTGAAATGAAGACAAAAATGTTATTTATATCGATTCACCCAGTCATCGTTTTGAAAACAGCCTGTATGCCAGTTGATCCACCAGTAAAATTTTTAATTTGACAAGCAAGTTCCAACAAAAATTCCGAAGAAGAATTTTTCGATTGCCGGCGCTAATGCAACGATGGCAAAAACGAGAAAAGGTGCAGCCTGTGGCACACGAGACTCGATATACCCTTGCAGCTTGCCAGCTCTAAGGTATCCTTCGTAATCCTGGTTATCTCGTGCTGCGTGCCTTTGCAGGGGCCTGCGGACACATCTGCCGTTGCCGAAGAAAGAGGAAATCGCCGTGAGGAGACCCGTGGAGAATGGACGTTGTGTTCTCTTGGATCGGTGCTCGTATATACACCTAACACCTGCCTCTGTAAGCTATTCCATTTCTGCCTCCTTTTTGTTCCTTGATTACCTTATGGCTTCGAGAGGAACAGAAACGAAAGAAACAGAGGAGGAGCAAACAAGGCTCGTGCTACTCGTTCAGCCGATCTACAGGTTACCTGATCTCTGTGGGTTTTATGGTCAGCCTTGGATCATCCTAAATTTCCGGAAACTGGCCTGGCTGCTTGGACATTCCAGTCATGGAATTTCTAGTTTAAATAAACCTTTAGTTTGGGTGGCTTGTGTTTAGATAAAGGGATTTCTAATTACAGATATTAGTTTGGTAGTGAACAATTGACACTAACTAGGTTGAGTAGGTCACACAAAAGTAATATTTCACAGTGATTGCTGTTGGGGCTTTTCACAGTTGCTGTTGGGCAATTTTACAGTGATTTGTGATGTGCATTTGTCGCATCTTAGTGTTTTAATTTCTTTGAAGAGGACACAATGCAAGCCTTACATATTTATCCAGATTTGAACCTTCCTAACTGTGAAAAAGGTAAAACCTAAGTGTTTATGACAGTCACAGTCAGATGTGGTCAGTAATTAACCTAAGAAGGTTCGTAAGCAGTGGATTAAACCTTGACATATTTGCATTTTGGAGAATGTACAGCGTTCACAGTAACTGATTCAGTGCAGAACAAATTCAGTTGGATCAAGGAAAATTGAAACCTGCGATTGATTTGTAAAACTTGAAAACACATTACAAGTTAGTTTGTTCTCGGTGATCAATACACGATATCGATCAAAGTTAATAAAATAATATTGCTGTTACATTGTGATTGCTTTTGTGTGTAGAGCTGCGAGTGATTCATCGTATGTAAAAGAATAAACATTGAACAGTATCTGACGTACACTGTTTCAGACCTAGTTTACACTTAATTACAACCTTGTCTGAATCTGACACAATCTGAAGAATTCAGGAAAAATTAAACATTAAGAGTTTGTTTCTTTGTTGCATCGAACACATATGTATATCTAAGAATACTTCAGAAAGTAGAGCAAACTACACAATAATTGGCACCTTCAGCTAAAACTCTGCTTCAGAGTGATATTTTATATTAAAACAGAATAACAATTTATGTTTAACAGTATATTGCAAACATAGTTTACAGTGCATATAGTTTTGAAAAGAAAAATGTTATTCTTATATGAATATTTTTTTATTTCGCCACAATAACGAAAGCAGTTATCAAAATCGTAAGGAACGCATAACTTCGTCAAATCAAATTATTGAATATGTACATACATGTACATGTATATAATTAGATAAATGAAAAAAGTAATACGAGTTAAAATATATGGAAAGTGAGTTTCTCTGCGAGTAATAAGACAATACATCATCGATTTCTCAGACCTTCCTCGTGCCCAAGCGCGAACGTCGATCGAAGGCTGCATTTATTTGGGTCGTGTACAGTCAACAGCAAATCTGACTTCCTTAGGGGAAAAATAGCGAACAAGGGGATGAGACTTTCAACTCGTTGATTTTTAAGGATTATTGGTAATTCAAAAATCTTGGGATCAATTTGGGGCATTGGAATTTGGAAAATTTGGAAGTTGGGAAGGTTTGAAGTTTGGAGAAATTGGAGTTTGGGGATTTTGGAATTGGGAAATTTTGGAATTTGGGGATTTAGAAGGTGGAGAGCTTGGAATTTGGGAAAATTGGGATTTGGAAATTTTGGAAGTTGGGGATTTTGGGATTTGGGGATTTTGGAATTGGGAGATTTTGGGATTTGGGGATTTTGGAATTTGGGGAAATTGGAATTGGGAGATTTTGGGATTTGGAAATTTTAGAATTTGGGGAAATTGGAATTGGGAGATTTGGAAATTTGGAAATTTTGGAATTTGGGGAAATTGGAATTGGGAGATTTTGGAATTTGGAAATTTTGGAATTTGGGGAAATTGGAATTGGGAGATTTTGGGATTTGGAAATTTTGGAATTTGAGGAAATTGGAATTGGGAGATTATGGGATTTGGAAATTTTGAAATTTGGAAGTTTTGCAACATAGAAACCTTCGAATTTGATAATCTTGGAATTTGGATATTTTAGAAACTCGAAACATTAAAATCTAAAGCGCGCAAAAAAGAAACAAAGCCTTGATAATTCATTAAATTTTCAAGTTTACATATTCTCATTGAAAGGAAGCCTACGTTGCACTCGAGTGTACGCCAGTAAATTATCTCCTCGATCCTTCCGCTCTTACAACGTCTCTGACCCCCATTCTTTGCTATCAGTCTTTATCATGTATTTATAGTAGTCTCGCAGTTGCTTGTGTATTGTTTTTACCGATGATCGTCGGATTTTACGAAATTGTCTGGTGAGCAATGCTCCACGCTGAAATCTGAACTAAATATTCTTCGTTACTCCATTACTGAAGAATTTATCTGTGCAAAAAAGATGATATAGTGCTCAACAGAAAATCATGATCTTATTGTTACACAATGTATTGCGGTGGAATCGATTGTCTGATGCTTTAATGAGTATCTGTTTCTTATTGTATTGTTAACTAATATTGGACTCCGCCTCATTTTTGAGTAACTCGTGATTTAAACAATCCTTTTCATCTTGATAAAAATATTTGAAAAAAAATTCTATTAACATTTGATAAATTATGTACCAGCTTAAATGATTAAAGGATGAAGCTCATTTTTCTTTTAATTTAAATTCTGAATCCTTGTGATGAGAACAAAAAATATTGCCATTTATAAGCATGAAAGATTTGAAGGCCATATTTAAATGATAGAATTAATTTGATAGGCTATAGAAATTTTCTTTAATTTATTTTTCTCATTTCATTTAAAATAGCTACTCATACCAAACTGATTTTAATTCCATGTGGGCCAATGATCATAGTAGGCCCATATCAATCAATCAATTCCATGTGAAAATAAAATTTGTTCAAACTTTGAGAAGATATTTCTTCGCCATAAATTTTTAGAGAATAAAAAATATAAATTTTGTTGTTGCAGCACTCATAGACAGTTACGTTGAACCCCTACTCATAATATTTCAGCTTTTCCAAAATGTCAGAAGTCACGTCGCAGTCGCCATCTAAGGAAAGACAGGAAGATAAGACGGATCCGGGCGCTAGTAGACACGGGAACTTCATGAATTATTACCAATTCCATCCTGCGGAAGAGCGCGTGCGACAACTTCCGTGTGGCGTGTGGCTGTCGGCCCATCCGGACCGGAAATACGTAGGCCTAGACGTCGGCTGTAACGCCGGGGTAAGACTGAAACAGCTGTCAGACAAAATAGCATGACTCGACCGTGATCCGAAATTACAAACGACGTGCGTCTAAATTTAGCATGTGCAGCCTTTTTTCTTCTCTTAAGAATTACTCGAATCCTGGCTGCTTCCGGACATTCTTCCGCTTTTCCTAAAAATAACCTGTTTATTTATGAGGTGATATTGCGAGTTATATTCTTTGGGCGCAATAAAAATAATTAAAACAGAAAAACAAATATTGCATTGAAAATTTTTAAATACAAAAAATTAGAAGAATATAGGATTTCAAAATTCAGAGAAAATTAGAAAATGTAGAAATTTGTTGGTAAAAAAGTATATGTACCTGAGTCTGAATTTGGAAAATTCAAAAACTGTCCATTTGTATACATGTACATCCTTCCAATGAGCTTCTTAAAAAAACATAAAATGAATACTAAATTGCTTCAAGATCCGTCGTGTACGCAGAGAAGTTAAACGCTCCGCTCGAAAATAAATCGTAAAGGATTAATGTTTTCAGGATTTAACGTTCGTGTTGCACGACTTCCTCGAGAACGCTTTATCGTCCGATCGACCAGAGATCTCTCTGCTCGGCGTGGATCTCGATCCGATCTTAATCGAGCGAGCACGGGAACGCAACCCACGACCGGATCGCATTATTTTCGAGTGCCTGGATTTTCTGGACGAGGATCGGACACTGCACGAATACCTCCGACGTTTCGAGAAGTCACGCTTCGACGTTGTGTTCTGCTTCTCCGTTACGATGTGGATTCACCTGAATCACGGTGACGAAGGGCTGATCAATTTCCTGCGAAAAGCGTGTTCGATCGCTGAAATGATAGTGATAGAGCCTCAGTTATGGAAGTGTTACAGAAACGCGGCGAGAAGACTGAGACGATCGAAAGCGGAAGATTTTCCTTTACTGAAAACGCTGAAACTTACCGGTGATCCTGCGGCGCACATCGAAAATATTTTGTCAGAGTTCTGCAATTTTCGTAGAGTCACGGTTACAACTGACAACGAGTGGAAACGGAGGCTATTAATTTATGCGAGGACGTGAACAACGATCGATGAGTTTCCTCGTGTTAATCGACGTCAAATGAATAAACGAGAGACGACTTTTTATGCGACTGCTGCTACTGAGAATGCTAATGGGAAGTGTTCGATTGGGCTGACAGACATCGATACAGGATACATGTAGCTTTCCTGTTAAAGGATATTTTTGCAATACACTACATGAACAGCTTTTTCTACTTGTTAAAATAAATCGTCAATGAATATTATGTAAATGTATTTACTTACCATCACAAGCTAAAGGACTTTAAAATAATTTAACCTGTATATAATAAGCATACTTTGTAATGCAACGTGATTTGTAGAAAATAAATATTTATACAGAAAACATTTCTTGCAAAATGAATTTGAATTAATTTCATTAATTTTACAAATTATATTCCTTACTTTTAGTATCACTGCAAATCCAAATACATTTATTCCACTCATGCATAGTTCGAGATAATAAGAGTCTCTGATTAAATTCGTCAGTATTTTCGTAAACGTGCAAATTAAAAATAAGTTCCGTTTACGCACGAATCATTTGGAAATAATTTGAATATCCATACATGTTTCAGTGCTATACACGTGGCTCAAATCTAATATAAAATTAAGTAACCCCGCCACGAAGTGGTGTAATAATGAGAAATAGAGGGGGAAGAAAAAAATGACCGCAAGAAAGATACAGGTTATATGTAATTGTTTAAAGGATAGGATTCTGTGAACGACGCGAGATGGCAATACCGTACGAACGATTGTTGGCCTGATGGCGAAGTACGGATACAACAGAAACTGACATGAACTCTGCGAGCAAGGTAAGTGAAAAGGCAGCTGTTGTCGCCGATTTTAGGGAGTTTCCCGCCATAATAACACTTAACGGTCATTCTCCCCCACCGCTCGTCTTTCTTTTTCTACGTGAGTCACGTGCTTTTACCCTGTACTACTCTAGCAATGGAGTCTATAAGCGGGCACAAGGTTAGGTTATGATCGCATCTAACAGAACTTTTTTTTATTCTTTTTCTTCCTGACAATGAGGTGCACTATATTAATACGTAGTGTTCGTTTAAATATTTAACGAGAGTCCATAGGAGAAGAAGAAAATTAGTGTTAATTATATTTATATGTACATATATATTTGACAGTCGATAAGTATTTCACAACTGTTTTAGGTTGGTGAGATTTTCACTGCAGCCGGAGCAGCGTTTAACAAGCTCGGAGAGTTGACTATGCAATTACATCCAACGACGGACTCACCGGCAGGGTAATTGAACAATAAACACATGTGCATTGCTTTCATTAAAAACATAACGATGCGTTTAATGCTTTCGCTTAAATTCACGCGACCAATATGTGCGTTAGAGAAACGCGGGAGAGGTCACGTGGTACTGCTGATTAACCAATGACGAAGTTAACGCTACTTCTGTCCTTTTCAAGCATCCGACATAAACAAATATTTTATTTTTTTTATCCTTTTTGTGATTAAAACCTACTAAAATTGTGATAGTTATCATTTCGAAAAGTATGTAAAGTAAGAATGTGATAAATATTGTTTATGCTTACAGTAGGTTCAAACTCGATGTAATTAATGCATGTAGATTACGCAGTATTGTATAAGATTTCATTTACATTTTTAATATATTATTTACATTTAAAGGGTTACAACAAATTTTGAAAAGATCGTACGATTTTTACTGAAGATTTGTAATTTAGTAAATTTCTAAACATTAAAATCTTCATTGCAGTAAATTTTCTTTAAAAATTAGGCCCAAAAGATAACCCTTTAAAAAAGAATTAATCATGACTTGTGTAAATTGCTTTACCGCAAAATAACAGCTGGCTGTATTTTTACAAAACTTCCTGTGTCGCTTAATCTGTAGTAAATGGACTGACGAGGAAATTGAGATGCTCCGTCACTCGGTAAAGACCTTCAGCGAAGACTTGAACAAAATAAGTGAACACATCAAGGGACGAACGGTGTAAGTTGACAAAGGCTGCATCGAGCCCACGGTTGTTCCTCAATTTCTCTGCGTCAGTCTCGACCCACCATTAACGGGTCAATTTGACCTTCCAGCTCTCAAATTCGGACAACGTTAAAGAAGAAAGCGTTCGAAGAAGCGGGAATGCCGATCAGACAACAAATGCTGTCCCAGCAATCAACGCAACAATCGACGGTTGTCCAGCAACAACAAGTATCCAAACAACAGGCAGCGAACCAAGGATTAATGGGAAAATCGGCGGAAGTAACGTTGAATATGTTGAATGCGCCTGAATCGGAAGTGGACGTTGAAGGATTACCGGAAGAGTGTCAAGTGAAGCTCGAGTTTGAGGGCGCGACGGAAGAAGTAGCTTCTTAAGGGTTGTAACCTGGCGAATACAACTTTCATATATCGATCTCTAAATTTAAGATAATATTCATAAAAAGTACGCTTAGATTTAAGTGATAATTATGTACATTCGCTGATAAGTTATGTTTCTCAATAAATTTATAAAAATTAACAGATAGAGACACTTTGATGGTGTCCCTTTTACCGACCAACCTTCCAGTATTTTCAATGAGGGCGCCACGAAGCGGAAAATCAAACAAAGAATGTAAACGTTGGCAGCATTTCCATCACGTTAGAGATTTTTACGTTGACCTTTTGGTATTCTGTATTTTCGCGACTAACGTTAGATCATTCACATGACGCGTTTGATTGACAGATTACCGATGACACGACTGGCCGCGAACCTAACTTCTTCAAGTAGTTAATCGTCAGCGTTCATGAACTGATCTCTAATGTAATCCGTTGTTTTTTTTGTTCGAGGTACAGCTGTCTCTTTTCAGCAACGACTTTGCTGGTGTGTGTTCGATCAACGTGTAATGATCTGTACGGTGAATTTAAGTGAACGTATGCAATTTGAGGCACCTGTAGCTGTGCCTGTTCGTTGTAAACATTAAAGTACCAGGAATACACGACGTAACATGGAAGGAGGCATACTAGAAAGTCCAGATAGAACTCTGGACAGATCTGACGATGAAATCGCCTTACGAGGATTTTGCAGCCCTAAAAAACTGCCATTTAGATTTCTTGGACTGGCAATGATGTGCCTGACAGGTTTCGGTACGACCAAAGCAATGTTATCGAAGTTCAACCGAGTAGCCATTGTTTATATCTAATCGCTTTTGTTTCCGTACATTCTGACCTCATTACAGGCGCGTTATCATCGAATTATTAAGTTTTTAATCATTTTTTTCAAATACACTAATTTGTATTTTGAGCATTATATGTTTAACATATATTCTATTCTACTCGTAACTACTAATGTAATTTCATAACAGTTATGAAAATATTTTTCTTTGTATGGTAATTAATGAATCATCGAACAATAGAATGTCGAAGTGCAGACTGACAAAAAGTGGAATTTGGAACCTTAGTTTCGTTCCCAAGTTTGGTTCAAATAAGTATTCATTAGATTAATAATTAAAGTTAGCCAATCGGAAGACGCGTGGTTGTAGTACAGGGGCGAATTATACTATAGAGCCCCCCTTGCTTACCACATATTTTATGTGTGTAATTAATTTTCCAATTTGTAAAATTTTTAATTCGAAAATTTGAAATATATTTATAAATTATAAGTTTCAAACTTTTTAATGTAGGAATATAGAAAATTTGTCTGTATTAGAAAGCTTTCAAGTTACGAAATTGATTATTGATTTTATATCGATTTGAGTGAAAATTGGAAAAGAAACTTTTAGTTTCAAATTCACAATGAATAATTATGGAACACCCTATATGTTACTTTTATATCAACATTAAATTCTTATTTATATTTTTTACATTTTTATTTGTTTACGAGATTCGTATTATCATCCAAATATTTTGTTCATTTGAAACAAAGGAAATGTTTTCCAAGAAATATTGAATAATCACATTTGGCCCGCATATTTCTGATAAACATTTTATTTTACTTGACTTAGCGCATCAAGAAATAAAAGCTTATCCCGAGAATATTTTACACGACCGCCGTATCGCTGTTCTAATCGGCATTTACTTTTCCTCCTGTTATGAATGTGCATTCATGCGATAAAGTCGCGAGTATCAGCGAGTCAACTCCCTTTGCCTGCAAAGTTTTATCTTATCATTAATTCCCTATTCACATTATGATACTAACATTAAATTTCATGTTAAAAATTAATAAATAATTTGTTCGATTGACGGAAATTATATATCATACTTTTGAGCAATTTTTTTTAGGCATTATTCAATGATTAGGTCATTGACCCTCCTAAGATGATTCGCTTATCTCGTGACTAGAGATTCGTTCCATACTCTAATCAAATGTTTTTCTCTTTTTAAGGTTCATACTTTTGTTATGACAACCCTGGAGCTTTGCAGGATAATTTTAAAAATGACCTAAGGATGTCAACTAGTAGATTTGTTCTACTTTATTCCATTTATTCATGGCCAAACGTAGTACTTTGTTTTATTGGTGGATTCTTGTTGGATAGTGTTTTTGGTATACGCTTAGGCACAGTTATATACATGGGACTCACTTTAATTGGACAAATAATATTTGCAATGGGAGCTATGGTTAATGAGTTTTGGGTTATGATGCTTGGACGTTTTATTTTTGGGTATGTATCCTATCATAAGCTATTTGCATTAAAGGACTTGGTGGAAAAAGGATGCATGCCACAATATTACAAATTAACTATTATTTTATAGTATTGGAGCAGAATCACTGGCTGTTGCACAGAATAGTTATGCAGTTTTATGGTTCAAAGGAAAGGAACTGAACATGGTATTTGGATTACAGTTGAGTTTTGCACGAGTTGGATCCACTGTAAACTTTCTGGTAATGGAACCAATCTACAATTATGTGGCTCAGTATTATAAAGGACCAGAGTGTATTGGCATAGTTCTCTTTCTTGCTACTCTCACTTGCGTGGGTTCTATGATCTGTACATGCATATTGGGTTTTATGGATAAACGCGCCGAGAGATTATTGAGAAGAGGGGAAGGACAAGAAACTGAAGCTGTTAGTTTAACAGATGTTAAAGATTTTAAGCTAATATTTTGGTTAGTCGCTTTCATTTGCATTGCTTATTATGTCGCAATATTCCCGTTCATCGCCTTAGGAAAGTAAGTATGAATAATAAGGAAGATTCATTATCATATTTTGATTGGCAACAAATATTATATAATTCTTTTCCTTAGAGTATTTTTTGAACGGAAATACGCATTCGAACCATCAAATGCAAACATAGTTAATTCTCTCGTATACTCTATATCAGCCATTGCATCTCCCATTTTGGGATATGTTGTTGATAGAACTGGAAAGAACGTGTCATGGGTATTTATTAGTATTCTAGCAACTATAGTAGCTCACGGACTACTAGCATTCACGTACGTGGATCCTTATATATGCATGATTATAATGGGATTATCATACTCTATGCTTGCCAGTAGTTTATGGCCATTGATCGCTCTTGTTACTCCAGAATATCAGCTTGGTACTGCTTATGGAATGTAAGTAAGGCTTACTGTACTGTTTATGATAGAAAACAAATTCGTGACTTGACAAAATCTCTTCTTTGCAGCGCACAAGCTGTACAAAACTTAGGTTTAGCAGTAGTTTCCATTTTAGCTGGTATGATTGTTGACCATGGTGGTTACTTCATGCTTGAGATGTTCTTCTTAGGCTGGTTATGGAGTATGTTTCTTATTTTTTCTACATTTTAATTTACAACCAACAATCATATTGATATTTTTATAAAAATTTTTAACCACCATTTTTTTTTTAACAGTTTCATTAATAACTACTGTTGCAATCTGGCTTTTGGATGCAGCAACGGGTGATAGTTATTTGAATATGACACCAAATCAGAGAGAAAAATATGACGCAATTCGGCGTTCACCTGAAAGCCTCGAGAGAGAGAAATTATTATCTCCAGAATCTACTTCAGATTTATCAACTGATGATCTTTTACAGCCTCAGTCTGATATTAGTATAAGAAATCGTTATCTTGCGCGTATTGGTGGAATGGTAATTATACATAAATATTTTCTAATGCTTCAGGTTATATTTATTTAGGTATAATGTATTAAATATTTCTTTTACGCTTTTAGATACCGCCTCATCTCAAAGCGCCAGTTCATCGACCATTACGATGATGCATTTTCTAGAATCAAATTTGAAATATAAATAACTGTGCTCGTGTAAAATCTTGTTAAGAAGATTTGCTCACTGTGTCTTCCTCTCACACAGCATTAATCTGTGATAATTTCTTAATTGATATGTTCAAAGCCAATCATCATTTCTGACAAGTCGATAAATCGATTTTTAATTGATAGTTAATAAATGTCAGTGGTTGATAAATGACAGATCTGTATCATTTGTTTTAGCATTAACAAATTTTAATAATACAACTTATTAAGTCCAATGAGGTAGCATGTTTGTAATGCAAGTAAATCAAGAATAATTTTTTATCTCTTGTTTTAACAAGAAATATACATATATATATATGTACAGGTTTTTAATTGCTAATTTTTTAACAATGTAAGAAGTTGTAATATGTAAGTATAGGTTATTGTTAGTGTAAATGATGTATGTTTGAACAAAAAGAAAAATAATGTGATTGACTTTATATGGCTTTCTTTTACAGCTGCTAATATTAATCCAATATATAATTACATAATTTCTTTTATATTAAAGCTTAGTGACTGTAAAATAAGAAAGAAATTCGTGGAGTGTTTTTTACACTGTACGATATATGCTAGTAATTATGAAAGTAATCTAAGTCATAATTTTAAAACAACTTATATCATTTCTAATTTAGTTTACAAATGTTTTTAAAAAGTCTTTCCACAATATAGTAAAATTAATCAATATAGTACAAATAAGTGGAAAGCTGACTCCTGGAATTTGACTTAGACCATTTTCATAATCACCTGCAACTAACAAAAGATGTATTTTATGCATGTAAAATATCTGATTATGTTTAAGAAATATACCTGTATTTTACATACAACACTGAATAGGAAATTTACTTACCTTAACATATAACTTTGCCTTTTATTTATTCATTTAATTAATTTCGATAAATTTTTAAATTCCATTGCACTAATCAAAAATGTTATTTCTAATAGTGAACAATCTTTTCATAAAATAAAACTTGTGATATATGATATGATGACGCCATTGGCTATAGTTCTGTCAAGACGCTTATTTACACACAGCTGTAGTGTGCAACACGTGCGTGCTCGTGGATAGTTATTAGTGATAAGTTCGTTGATTTTCTTCGCATTTTAAACAAAATGGGGGTCCACGACAATGCAGATTCGAAGTACAGTGTAATGGGCACTTCCAGTTTTTCAAAATTAGCACCGAAACGTCCTAATACCGTTGTGTTTAATGATAGTCCTACTAAAATTCAAAAGTACGACGACACACCACAAACTGTTCAGTCAGAAACTCTAGATAAAGGAATTAGCTTACAACAACAAAGGAAATCTTTACCAGTGTACAGGCTGCGGAAGCGGTAAGAATTATCTCATTTATGTTTTTTGGATATAACCTTCATTGCTGTCTGTCCTACCTTTAAATAATATTCTTTACTCGTACATGTGGAGCATCGTGAGACAAAATGGTGAAGCATCGACTCTGTACATGTAACTCACTAAATTGATGTGTAGATGACACCACTATGCAGAATAACGCGTTCCGAAAACAATAATTTTTTAATGTAAAATATAAACTCATTTGCTCTGAGGATAAACTGTGTATAAAATATAATAATTCGGAAACGTAATTTGTATATTTGATTTTTTGGAACGATGCAAATTTCATGTTTGAAAATTTGGAAACTTAAGCATGGGGGCACTTGGAGATTTGGTTTTTAGAAATTTATAATAAGTAATTCAACCCATCTTACAATGCATTATTTACATGGTTCGATCAGAAAAGTTCATAAATAATGTTCGAGTAATGAGTAATTAATTATTTTGTGTCAGCACTGCGATACGTACATGAGCCGCTTATGTCAATTATACTGCGCATGCAAAGTGCAATATTTCGGCACTTTGACGACGTAGTATGGTTCCTGGGGCATTTAGAAACAAATTTCTATTAGGGTTCGATGCGTTTTGATGCCTAATAAAGCCAGAAAATCAATTTTTGTCGAATTCGGTTCAAAACGGTACATGTGGCGCCATCTAGCGGCGAGCGGCGGAACTACGAAAAACTAAAATTTTGATTTTCTCGAAAACTAGGGACTTTTCCGAAATTCTGAGATATACAAATTCTTCCTTGTCGCCTA